TCCCTCCCTCTACTAAACATGAGCCCACACAAGTCATTAATAAAGTATAGGTGCCTGGCCAAGATTCCCTCCCTCTACTAAACATGAGCACACACAAGTCATTAATAAAGTATAGGTACCTGGCCAAGATTCCCTCCCTCTACTAAACATGAGCACACACAAGTTATTAATAAAGTAGAGGTACCTGGCCAAGATTCCCTCCCTCTACTAAACACGAGTTTAAACTCTACATTATCTATGACCTGTACATTTCTGTGCCTTTACACACACACGTTTGTGGTATTTTCTGTATAAAATCAATACATGGGATATTCCACACAATATACATGCCAGGTGTACTGAACATTTCCACTCCAAAATACACGATCAATAACAATATCAGAATAAAAAAAAAAAAAGGTTGTACTTACCAGTTGATCATCATTCAACTCTTTACCTTTGTCGAGTTCATTTCTGTAACCATCCAACTTTCCCTACGTGTAAACAGAAATATAAATTAAACCTTGAATCTATTACACGTTTCAAATATCCACAGATATTGACACCTTTATTATATATACCGAACAGTAGGATATTACTCATTACAATATTAATATCTATTCTGAAATGTTTGGAGACGGCTTGAATGGGTAATGAAGAAAAACTTTAATACAAGTTTAACATAACTTACATTAAAGCATTAAGAAAGGACTTGTATCGCTGAAGTTTCTCGGAAATAATTTTTACGGGAAATTATTAAACAAGCAGATCCGTAACAGTGTGATCGGAAACTTGTGAACATTGCTTGTGAGTTTTTGCTAATTTCAGTTTATTTTAACGGTACCAGAAGGAAATACTGCTTCATTGAAATAGCTTTATGGATCAAAGATTTCTTTTTAGTCTTCCAATAGGTGTGTTACTCTGGATTAGCTTGAAGGGTAGGGTAGAGGAATCAGAATCAGATATAGTCCTAAACGTTCTGCTTTACGAGTTTTTGCTTTTCCATGAAAAATATTGAATTAAAGTTTACTATTAGGAAGTATAATATTCTTTAGTTGTACGTTATTTTAGTCTTGGTGTGAGAATATTCTTTCTATAAAAGTGCTATGTGATTCAGATCTAGGCCTGATCCTTTTCAATCACTAGGACCGTTATCTCATAGTCATTTGCCTTGTTAACGGGAGGTGGGATAGATATTATTGGTGTTATGCCCCCCCCCCAAAAAAAAGAAAATAAAAAGAAGCATGAATTACAATTGAAATGGTCAAAACTTTAGTGAAGCACAAGGTTAATAGGGGTCAAATTTTGTTACGTGATTAATTATGGTTACTACATCATTTTCTTAATTTACCCTCTTCAGTAATTCTGATAGTTTTTTTTTTCTTCTTCTTCCAGTACTTAATAATTTTAAATTGGTTCTATATCTGTATTCTTTAATAACTTATAATAGCATCTATACCTATGTTCTCATTGTATTTCTTCTAACCATACCTTTCGAACCAATTGTGACACCAAACGTAATATACAGTCAGGTATTTGAGTTTGAAAATTTTACATCTTATAGAGTATGCGTTTAATATGTTGGCCCTGGACGATCTCCACCTATTTTGAAACTGATTAGAAGTCCAGCTTGCTTCACTGAAGCCTTTTCCCGTTAGCGTGTGAGTGCCTAATTGAACATTTCTGATAAGCATAAATAGCAGAATGTAATGAACTATCCTGAAACTTTGCACTCGCATGTAATAAACATGATTAAAGAACGCTGTCACCTAAGAAGACAATATATGAATACAAGAGATCCATACGTCAGAACTTAGATTACCACACTAAGGAACAAAGTACGAAATGAAATAAAACAATTAATAAACAATATATTCTCTCGAGTGTGTTTATTTGTTTGTATGCTGTAAAGCACAAAGTTACACAATGTTGTCCCCACCACAAGGATCAAAACCCAAGTTTTTAGCGCTATAAGGCTTTGCGTTTATAGCTAACAACTGGGGTGTATTTCCAGTTAATTCTAAAAATTCAATAAGTTTTGGCTAATTCGTACGTTTAATCTACTAAGTAAAATTTGATACTACTTTTAACAAAGTTTGTAAAATATTCCATAAAACCGAGATACTGTTATAAAAAATATCAAGTTAAGCATCTGGTAAATCTCTAAAGCCATCCAAGCTAGTGGTATGGCAAATAGGATTTTAGGTTGTATCTACAGAAATATTGAATCCAAGTCTGAATAAGTTATAATTGTATAGGCCACTGGTAAAGCCAAATTTGGAGTATTGTGTTCAATCTTTGGCTCGTTATCAATTAGGAAGAACATTGAATTGTTGGAAAGAGTTCAGAGGAGGGCTACTAGAACAGTAGCTGGGATGGAGGGTTGTCATACGGAGGAAGTAAATTTAAGTGAATCTAAGAGAAAGTTGGATAACTATATGAATAATAAGGGCTGGCTCTGAGGGCTTTTTATTATTATCTAATAGTTTTAGTTTAGTTTAGAGGATGGGACAGGCTAAATTGACCAATAGCTTCCTTATTGTCCCTAAAACATTATGTTATGTTAATAGTAATAGAAATTGAGTTTAATTTTCTAAGTCTAGGCGAGAGTGATTTTTTTCGCTCTAGGAAAGTCGGACCTATTTTATATGTGTATGTGTTGGCCTGTTGTAAGAGCTCTAGATAGGACCTCACCTTCCAAATTATGTTGATTTACAGTTTAATTGTTCTGAAAAAGAAAAATACTATTGTTAGCTATTTTCTGTAAATTTAATGTTAAATCTATTTAAAAAGGTGGACAGAGTTTATATATATATATAAACAGTTGCGGTGTGACGTCATTTGGTTCTGCTCCCGGTCACTGTAGGCGGTATATATATAGTTAGGCTCTATAAAAATTGAAATACACGTGAAGTGAGGGATTTCTAATTTAAAGTTGTTGCAAGTGTAGAATGCCTTCTGCCTCTGCTAAACTCGAGAAACAAGCCTCAATCGAGGCTTCGGATCCTGTCAAGCAAATCGTCACCGTACTGGAAAAGAAAGTTCGAAATTTAGAGAAGAGAAAGGTTGTTTTTCTATAAATTTTGATTTTCTTAAGCGTTGTTCGGGTGATGTGGTTAGGAGTAAGCCTAACATTAGGCCTAACGTTACTTTTAAGTTTATACTATGTTACGAGCTGTAGTGTAGGTTGAACCACGATTTATGGTGCAGTTGGTGTTGGGTGAACAAAGGCTTTTCATAAAACTAATTTGAACTTTAACTTAACTTTTTATTTGGGGGTTAGCTTTCTAACCCATAAACGAAGAGTAGAGAGTACATTTTTATCTCTTCCGAGACATTAGCTAAATACTAATTATTTTATAAATGCAAATAAAATAAGGTTTTGAATACAAATCAAACTAAGTGTGATTTTCTTCACACTCGGGTGGAACTCTTGACAAATTGGCTTACTGTTTCACAGTATTACTGTGGTAGGATATTTGTATGAAAAACTAACATTTATTACATCCTTAAAATGTTAACTAGAGAATGTTTATTTCCCTAATATTGTAATACAACGAGATGCAATGCTACGTTATAAATAATTTTTTTTCAAGTTTTACACTGTATTATATTCATACACCTCTAGTATAAACACTCTAATGTATACCAAAACTTTCTGTTACAGTTTGAGAGTATTAATGAAATTGTCAAACAAGAAATTTCAAGCATTTTAAACAGATTGTAGTGTAATGTAAGTATATTACAGTGTAGATGGTAGAATGGATTAGGATGAAAACAGCAGTTGAACGTTCTGATGGAATGATATGTATGAAATGAAATAAAAAGTATTAAATGTTTTTGTAAGAAAGAAAAGATACATTTTTGTTTGATGTATACCAGAAGGCAATCCAATTATGAGACCATATAACAATAGAGGGTGAATGAGTCAGTTCTTTAGACCAAGCCCATAGAAAGCTTTTGGTAAATATTACAACTATGTTGTGCACAAAAAGAATATAATTTTTAATAAAGTATTTCTACTAAATAATTTGTGTCTGAGTTTAGGTACCCTTGCTCAGACTGAGTAGTCTTGATTACGAGCTGATTTTCTTGTTAAGAATAAAAAAACCTTTTTTTTTTTTCACTTTATGGTTCTAATTATTTGCCTAACTTCTAGAACCTTCTAAATGAATGTCAAAAGTTATTTCTAGCAATGCTTTATATTTTCTGTTTTCTTTATCATATATGCTATACAGGCTCAGTCTGTTTAACTAACCTTGTAACGACCACAAAAATCTAAATTATTTCCTTTGTCTTACTAGAATAGCTGTCGATTTTAACAGAAAATTACAATTTTATTCTAAACAGCCTCAGGCTGTAATTATTTACATCTCTCTCTATTTAACTTTAATGTTCTTTATGCTGTATCTTAGTACCACAGTTAGCAATATATTATACAGGAGGAGTGCAGAGCTTAGGGTAAATGAAATTTCAGGTTGCATCACATAACATCAAACCTTATATTCCTTGTGTATTTCCTGAGGCAAAAAAGTAATTTATGTAATTGTCAAATATGCATTTTAAAATACAAAAGATTATTTCAATAGTGAAACAGAATGCCCCCAAACTACTATAATTTATCTTATAAAAAGGGGTCACTTGCTCTCCCCCTCCAGAAAATGAGAAACATACAATTCTTTCTTTATTCAATTTATTGTTTGCTTCACAATTTCACACCACTTTGGCCCACCCCCAAAAAAAAACATTTCTGCGGACTCCTATGTCTACATTCGCATTTCATTTGGTTGAGTAATTGTCTGCATAAAAAGATGAGTCTTTTAAACTTTGAGAAGGAAAAAGTTGTTCCATAATATGCTTTGATTTGTTCTCTTTGCTTATCAGTTTTGGAAAGTCCTAGTAAGAAGACCCTGAATGGCTAATCCAGAGTATATTGTAGCTCTCCAAATCTGTACATGTCTGCTGGCCTCTCTACTAGCACTTTTTACAGCAGTAAAACATGCATGCTTTTGGTCCTTTTATTAAAGCCTTTGAGGATGTTATACCTTAAAACTTAAGTTTGGATGTGGTGAAAAGTCTTAGTACATCGTTTGATCATTATGTAATGCCCAAAATATCTCTCAAATAATTATTATTGTATTATCTTCAACATATAAACAGCAGTATAAATTTACTGAAATGAGATAAAAATCAGTCTGGCTTTTTTTATAGTTGAATAAAATGGCAATTTTTTTTTTTTAATAGTTTCAGATTCAGATTGTTTTCCTAGAGCTGGAATCAAATTATGAAGGTTCTTTTAACCCCATGACAGCAACTGAAATCAGATCTTGCTTATGACAGACACGTTAACAACCTCATATTTTAGTACAGCTATAAGTATAACACTACCTTGGAAAAACTTCAAGATAATTTTAGAAAGAGGCCTGCTTTAGCTTATTGTTATTTTTTGAGTATTTTGTCTATTTTCTGGTATGCAAAAATTAAAATACAAAATTGCTTAGTTCCTACTGCTATAAATTCAAATCAGTCATAGTGATAATAATAAAAGAACATTATTGTGTGTAGTAATTAGTGAAAACCACAGTAAAGTGAAGACGCTGTCATAAATCTGGATATTGGAGAAACTAGTTTTGGCACATTCATGTCTTCTTCGGTCTTGCATTTTGTTCAGTTTTCTGTGATTTTTCACAAACAGTCACTGTGACTAATAATTCTCAAGACAAAAATTTTTTTTACAATATCAGTGCGTATAGTTGTGAAAAAGAAAACTCTTGAATGACCTATTATCCTTTAAGGTAACATAGAAAGTGAGCTTATTCGCATTACTAATAGTTTAAAGATCAAGTTAGGGCAACAGAAAAATGAAAGTAAGATTCATTTGTAAGGAGGTAATCTAATTTTCTTCGGCACATTGGTGAATTAAATAGTAGTAGTTGTTGAAACCCAGACCCAGTTAGATTTTTTAAAAAGGTTTTGTAGATTTTGTACGTGAATGTTAGCCACTACATTGAGAGTTTTCTAGCATCATTTGTTGGGAGATCGAGTGTGATCTCCATTACTCATCTAGCTTGCTATCGCCATGCTTTTTATGGCTAGAAGTATCTGCTATCATCACACTGCTCTTGAAGTCTGAAATATACGATTTATGATTGTGAAAAAAAATATGGACACTGTTTTTGGTAATAACTGTAAAAAACAGATTGCGTTCGTTGATTTTAATTTTTATGTACGACAGCAGGGATTGAAATATTACATACCCAAGGACTTTAACTTTATTTGAGGGATTTCATCCTTTTAGTTGGCTTTCCCAATCGGGAATGCATGGTCCATCCGTATTCCTTTAGTTATGACCAATGAAAGTGAACATATTGCATGGATTAAATACAAAAAATTCTGATTGGTTCTACTCCGTGTGATTTATCTGTAGGTTTGTGTTGCAAACAACATGCACGTAAAGAGCAAAAGTAGCAGTGAAAGGCATTGTTCAAATAATTTATCATAATTTTCTATGAAGATTTGCTTTTACCTAACGTAGAAGCAGGTTCTAAGAACTATGGAATGGTTGTCTTTGAATTTCACAAAAGGTTTTGGAAAAATTTATCACTATCCATTATTGTTTCAAGGATGTAATACTAGTATAAACACCTAATGGACCATCAGAACACCACAAAATTTTTGGAAAGATACATCCCAGTATTAAACCCACTTATATTCGATGACGAGAAACCCACTTTGAGACTAATAATGCTTGGAGATGGCTTGAATGGGTAATGAAGAAAAAAAAACTAGTTTATTATTTCTCGATACAACTTTATAATACACAGAATTTCTACAGTCACTTTAACTTAAACACACGCTATAAATCACAACGATTCACGCACTTTACTTACGGTCACTACCGCTCACTTGACTCAATTATCTGTCTCTATCTCCATCTATCTGCAATTATATCTCCG